AGAAAAAAGAAGAGGACGATAAGTCCAGTGGAGAGCTGGAAACTGGTTCGTCTGGTGAGGACTCTTTGTCTGAGCAGGGGGCATCAGCCCCGAAAAGTTCCTACAAACTGCGGAAGAGAGAGACGAAGAAGTAAAGGCTGAAGGACTCTGAATTGTTCCTTTGAGAACTTTTGTTTCTAGGGGATGATGGGGGGCACTGTTATTGGGCAATTAAATGTAACTGGGGATGGTTAAAAGGGTTAAAAGATTGACACAGTTCATAAGAAGTACAAAGATGAAAAGTCTGAATGAAGTATAAAAAGCTAGTTGGAGATCTCCTCTCTTGGGTTTTTAGTTAGTAGTGGGTTCTTTACTTTCTCCCTTATAAGTAGCTTTCCCTTTCCCTTTTTTCTGTTCTAGTTTTTGTAGTGTTTAAAAATCAATTAAAAATCCCCTCCGGGGGCTTAAAAAAAAAAGAATTAAAACTGCTCTCCAGATGGTAGAGATCAGGAGTAGATAATGGTAGGTTGATGGTTGGCTGGGAAGGAGATAGGGTTGGGAAATTCTTGGAGATTTGAGAGGTGGAGCCTGAAGATGGTAGGGTTTGAGGAGGGGTAGGACCTCAGACAGTACAATGCCGTCGACTCCACCCTCTAAACCAGTCATTTCCTCCTGGGGGACCATTGCTGCCAATCTCCACGTGAGGGCTGGAGATCACACAGGATTAAAACTGCTCTCCAGATTGCAGAGATCAGTTCCCCTGAAGAAACTGGCTGCTTTGCAGGGCGGACTCTGAGTCATGATACCCTTCTGAGGTCACTTTTCCTCCTGCTTGGGTCCCCACTCAAGAGGAGAAAGACTGTACTTTTCCTAGGTAGAGGCTCCAGATGCAGGGGGGAGATGGAAATCTGAAGTCAGAGGGGCAGATAATAGTATGTTGATGGTTGGCTGGGAAGGAGATAGGGTTGCTACCTCCAAGATAGGTGCAATGCCATAGACTACCCTCCAAACCAGCCATTTCCTCCTGGGGAACCATTGCCAATCTCCAGGGAAGGACTGGAGATCACTCAGAATTACAACTGCTCTTCAGATGGCAGAAATCAGTTCCCCTGGAGAAAACGGTAAGCTCTGTGTCATTATACCCTGCTGAGGTCATCACAGGAAATTGACTCTGAGTGCCCAAGGCCAGGGCACCCACCCAGAGTCTCTTTCTAGAGATCATTATATTTATTTCCACAGCGGGCCTTATTCCTAGTCTCTCCTTATATATAATTCTGTTTTCGAGTGGCAATGTTCCATGCACTCCAAAATCAGTTGGCTCCCTGATCTGTCAATCAGAAGGGGACTCCCTATGCACTGGCTGCATTGCCTGAGTCCCGCCTCCAACATTCTAAATAGTTTGCTGTTTCTCTCCCCCCCCCATAGCCAGTCAGAATACAGAGGTCATTTGCATATGCGGCCTGATTGGCCTTTGCCTCTAACATTCTAAACATTTTGCTGTTGCTGTTGGGAGTCACTGAATGTGTCCTGAATACACATTCAGGTAAAATACATATCCCAATCTTCCCTTAAATGGTCATTGCAGTTGCCAGTCTCCCTGTGGGGCCTGGAGATCTCCTGGAGATAATGGCTACTTTGGGCAGTGGACTCTATGGCATTATACCCCACTGAAGTCCCTCCACACCCCCAAACCTTGCCCTCCGCAGGCTCTACTTTTCAAATCTACAAGTATTTCCCAACCCAGAGTTGGCAACCATGTAATTGGCTATGAAACCACCTTCCAGACCCTTGGAACCCAGAAAACATGGCATAGGAGGAGGTGCTTTTCTACCTTAGCTGCCACTGCATAACCCCCCCCCCCAAAAAAAACCCCAACAACAACAACCATAAATCAGGGGTGGAGGGCTGTCCTCCCATACTAACCACTTGGGGCAGCGAAATAACTTGAGACAGCCCTGCCTTTTAGCTAAGCAGAAGGAAAGAAACATGGCTTACCTCCCTCTATTTTCCCCTTTCCTCTGCTGCCTCACCAGCCACAGTCGGGACACACATCTGGAGCTTCTTTCTAGAGCTCATTGTATTTCTTCCCACAATGGACCTTACTCCTAGTTAATAATAATTATCATATGGCATTGTGTGTAGAATAGCCAGAAGATCCTGAGATTGTCTGGCAGCCACAAGTTCTAGCTCTTAGCATTATGCTAGTGGTGAGCTAGACTTGTTTTTAGAGGCTGAGAGAGCTCTGAAAGAACTGTGACTGGTCTGAGGTCACTCAGTTGGCTTCATGTGGAGGAGTAGGAAATCAAACCCAGTTCTCCAGATTAGAGTCTGCCACTCTTAACCACTACACCAAACTAGCTTTCAAAGGGCTAACTGAGCTGTGCAATAGGGCCAGCCATGACTATTGGTTGAAGTTGTGCAAACCCAGGGGGATATGTGCTTCTTCCTCCATGTCCTTTTATCCCTAACCCAGCTCCTATGCCAGAAGTTTACTAGAAAAGTTGGTGACTTCTGTATAATTATTGTTGTAAACTTTAGAATGTGGTCAGTTTATCAGGTACTAGTGCAGATTGCTCTTGAACCAGAGATAAGCAGATGAGTTGCATGTGGGGCAATGCTCTAATGTAATATTTGTGGAGCAGTAGCTACCCTGTGCCCCACTGAGAGTGTCTGCAAATACATACACCCTTGTCTCTAAACAAGATTCCAGTACGATACCGTGTGTGTGTGTGTGTGTGTGTGTGTGTGTGTGTGTGTGTGTGTAATTTATGAATAATCTAAGGTGATCTGCTATACTGAAAAATAAAAAGATGCATGTGAGGGAAAGACATTGAAAGCCCAGCAAATCAACATGCAGCTTGCCACAGTTTTTAAAATGTAAGGCATTAGAAAACCTTTCAGCTGTCAGTGAAAGGCATGAGAAGTGGGACAAAATGAGTGCCTCTGACAAGGCCACCAGTGTGACCCCATTCTGCATACTGGGTAATTTCACTTTTCACACTCAGAATTGTTGTGGCAAAAGACAAAAATTTAAGCCGTGTATGCGTGCAGGCTAGCCTTAAAAGAGGCTATTAGACTGGAGGCCACTGTATATATCCACATAACCAACACTCATGTTTATTTATTATTTTTATTCATTATTAATTTTGTCTTATATTCTACCTTCCCCACAAGTGGGCTCAGAGCAGATAACATTAGGGTTGCCAGGTATTACCTGGCTGCTGGTGATGGGGTCCCTCTCCATTCCTGGGGCTTTTTGGTAACCATAGAGTTTTTTTCTCAAATGCTAGAGTGTTCCCCACGCAATGTGCCCTGTGTGATGATGTCACCTCCGTCATTGTGCTGGGCATGTTGGTGCAGACAGGGCTCTTTGGGGGCAGGGCTCCCCCACTGGCCGGCTGGGCAGTGGTGGATTGGGTTCCCTGAAAGCAGGTAAACCCCTGCCACCATCGGGGGCATGGCAACCCTAGATAACATCAGTAAAAGTTAAAACATTCCACAGTATAAATTAAAACATAACTTAAGAAATCATTCACACAGTAGTTAAAGAACAAAAGAAGAACATTTAAGAACAAAAGAAGACACCTGCTGGATCAAACCAGTGGTTCAGTATGCAGTTTCATGCATTAACCAACCTGTTGCCCTGAAGAGCCAGCACGCAGCACATTAGAGGCCAAGGCCTTCCCGTGATGTTGCCTCCTATTACTGATATGTAGATGTTTACTGCTTCTAAATGTGGAGGTTCTCTCTAGTTGTCCTGACTAGCAGTCATTGATGGTCCTGTCCTCCATGATAAGACACGTGAGAAGCCAGATGTGTTGTCATCTAAAGGCTGTTCTGATCAAGTGGTGTATTGAATGGAAAAGGTATATTATTTTATGCATTTTACTATATGGTTTGTTCTTTTGTTTCCTTCCTCATTTCAGATCTTGGGAGTCTGGCTGACCTACAGATATAGGAATCAAAAGGATCCTCGTGCAAATCCTAGTGCATTTCTTTGACCTGGGAACCTTCTTGAGGGACTAAATATCTCTTTTCCTGTGTTTTTAAAAATGAATTATGTACTGATTGGCTGCTGTTCACATTAAGTGAGGCTTTGTGCACTTGAGATAATGACGGTTCACCTAGAGATGCCTCCTACTTTGGTTTTGTTTTTTGATGTTTTCTTCCCCTTGGATTGGCTGGTTTGAAATGCCAGTCATGTAACTAAACAGAATTTGGTACTCTAAGAAAGTGAAAGATAGTTGAATAGAATTATTGCAGTCTTATTGTAATACTTCTGCTGTTTTAATTGTTGGTTGCTGTTGCTCTTGGTGATTAAAGAAAAAAATCCATTTTATGTATTTCATCCACCAGAAAAATTCCTATTCACATTGTTGCTCTGAACACCTGGTGCTTTGTGATTCAGTTGAAATCTATGGTGAGAATTATGTTGCTTTTGCTTTCTGTTTCAGGGGAAACCACCATGGAAATCATTTCACATATAAAAAATATATCTTCCAGCTATATTTATGCAGACACAAGTATGTGGGGAATATACCTAAACAGATTTTTCTAATCCAGCTATTTCAGAATTGCCACGTAATCCTAGAAGTTTCATTTCAGAACTCTTTTGGTAATTCCATGCATAAACATCTCCTGTGTTCACATGCATACTTGTTCACTGCAGTTTTAGACTTTGTACTGTATACCCATGTACTCAATGGACTGTGCAGAATTCACAGTAGATTTGCCATTGACTTAGTCTGAATTGTATTTTTAAATGAACAATAGTATCAGTGGGGATAAACAGGAATGTGAATTTTCATTGTATATCTGATGTTTTGGTTTGAATGAACTATGTAATTAGACTGTTGTAAAGGAGGATGATCTTGAGCTTACTTGTCACTGTAAGAAACTGGTCGTGGTGCCCAAAGGGGTCTTGTATCTATTTTTGCAGTTTGATTTAATTTATCAGTGTAGTAAAGTTAACTGTGATACTGATGTTGGTCTTTATATTTAACAAATTGTGTTAATTCAAGGGTATCTTAATACTTGATTATATATGTGAATTAGAATATTGTAAAGTGATCTTTGTAGTGCTTTGATAGTATACTTTAAAATAAAAACTTTTGATGAAATATGTTTAATATTCAGACAAAAACCTTTATGCAGCAGTAGATACAAACAATGGACAATATGATAGATACCTTGACTGGAAAGCCTTTCAAAGCCTATGTGAGATAGTGATCTAAAATGGTTTTTCAGGGTTGTCTAAAGAATTTGAATAAATGGTTATTCTTTTTGTTATAGAAGAGAATCGCATGTATTCTTAGCATTGTAAGTGCCAAGCAGGAGGGAAACATAAGAAATATGAACAAAAATAAAATGTAAGTTGACAGACAGGAACAGCTGTGACATTTTGATATGGGAGGGACCATTAAAAGTGTTCACTGAAAAGACCTTGCATAATATGTAGCAAGAGTTAAATGAGCTGTATTACTCACAGTCCAGTGGTGCTCATGGGTATGGACTCACATCTCTGGTAAATGAGGTGGCACCTTTTCAACAGGTGAACAAAGAAGGCTAGGGATCATGGGGCCTTCATGACCAAAAGCCATATGTGATGGGGTGTAATAAGGAGTGAAAATGGGTGAGACTTATTACAACCCCATGCCTACCCACAGTGCTTTCCTTATAACAGTCCCTAGTTTAAAAAGCAACTCATTATTGAACTGGGAAATCTACTGGAAGAAAAGAAGTAATGGAACAACAGGTTGCTAGGACTCAAAAACAGCACAACAATTCATTAGCATGACACGAACGAAGCACAGATTAAAAACAAGCCGAATCTGCCAAAACATCACTCTCTCACCCAAATGCTCTCTGGGGAAAAAACTTTTGTACGCCTTCAGAATTTAATAAGTGAAGGCGCCTTCCATATTGTGGTCTGGTCCTACTATGGAAATAGCCTGTGGTCTGAATCGTGCCATAATGGGACAGTCATAGCAGAGGGTACCAGTAGAAGAAGGAAGTCTGGGGAACAGAGCTGTTAAATCAGAGTTTGATCATTATTTAATATGGGTGCCACTTCTGACCTGCGAGTAAGATTTCGGCAAGTAAGGAAACTTGGTTTTCAAGTATCATAGAAATGAAGTACACTTAAAGTAACCCCAAATGTTGATGATCAAATGTTGTCTACAATGGATAAGTACCTTGTTGAACTCAGTGCCACTGGTGGTAGTAATGGCCACTAGCCCATGTAGCATAAAAAGATTCATGGAGGATGGGTCTGGATCTATCACAGTGCTATTAGGCCTATCTACTTATCTTGAGAGACTCTAGAAAAGAAGTATACAGCATTAATACTTAAATGGTTGTGGTGCTGATCTTTAATAGATGACTATGCTTTGGTTACAGGTTATTGGTTTACATGTTCTTATGTAGAATGTGTAACATAAAAAGCAGACAACCCAAACATTAAATATTTAACAGATGTATGTAAATTAAAACTTCCAGTGAGGTAATGGAGACTCTGCTGGGACTGTAGCTCATGGAAAACAGGGTTTCATTTCACATAGTTGTTTCAATATAGGCTGCTTCCATTTGCTATATGAAGGGTTTTCTATTCTGATGGAACAGCAGCTGGGACTGAAGTTGATTTAGCTACAATGGGGGTGGGTGGAAAGACTGAGAACTCTTGTCTTGCCATTGTTGAATGAACCACATTTTTCTGTGGCTTTCACAGTAACTGTTCTTCAAGCAGTCATTTTATCTTAATGCATGAGAAACGGTCACGGAAACATGGGGTTTCCATGCAGCCATGAGTAGGATTACCAGTTGACCTAGAGAAAAATATCTTGATTACTGCCCCTTTAGGTAGAGGCTTAATATGTGAGAATGAACAGCTTACGTTTTTCATGGTATGTAGCGAAATAACATACAATTAAGTTGCTATTAAAGGGACAGGATATTTTTCTCCAGGCCAGGGCAACCTTAGTTGTTGATCAAGAATTTGCCTTATAAGTTGGGACTTAGCTAGCCAATTCAAAACTCTACCGAAAAGCACTCTGTTATGACTAACCCATGCTTGAAAAATTGGAACTGCTTTTTCTCATTCTTGGCTTTCTGGCTTCACTGAAGAAGGTCAGAAGGGAGGGGAGAGCAGGGAGAGAGTGACTCAGCAGATAACACAACTGCCAGGGCTGTTTTCCAATCAGCAAAGTGACACACAAGTCTTCCCACCAAACATAACTGAGTTCAGTCTTTTCAAAGTAGTGTTTACACTGATCACATTGCTGGAGAACTGCCTCGGGGATGGGTAGCGGTGCTAATTGACTTTGTTCTTTTTGGGGGTTGACCTACTAGGCACAGTAATGGGGGCAAAGGTTCTGCTTGGTGTACTCTCACATATATTCAAGCAGTATTGCAGACTGGAGGAGGGGGGATGGCAAGTTCCACACCTGTCCATACACATCACTCAATGCAATCAGGCAAATATTTCTTTTGTGTATACTGGAGGTAGGTTCTGGCAGTGATGGAGGCCGAATGGTTCCACTCTTCCCCCAAGCAATAGACAATGTCTGCTATGCTCAATATACATCTACAAAAATCAGCAGCATGTAGAGAAAGAGGCAGATCAGGGCCAAACCATGAAAGATGAGATCTCACTACATTATAAACAGCCATGCTCTTGCTCAAAAACAAATCCATCTCTCCCTACCCCCACCTCAGCCGCCTGTCACCCATAGTAGGGGAAAGAAAGACTGTTAACCTCCAATTAACATGTAAAAGAAGTGGTGGATTGCAAGATGCTTGGGGGAGGTATATGGATAAGAGTGCTAACATGCCTCCGCACCTTTGCCTTGCTTCAGTGCAGTCCATATCTTTTGATCTTAAAATCCCAGCCAGGCTCATTTCTAGTATTTGAGCAGGGCTGAGAGAAAAATGCTTCTCATCCAAGGTAAAGTAAGAGAGGAGAGGTATCATTTATTGCTTCTCAGCCTTTTGGCTAAGATCCAGTGTGTACCTAGGTATCATTTAAATTATAGTGCTTTTCCCGCTTTAGTTGTAAGATGCTTTGAGTTCCTTAGGGAAGAAAAGTGGGAATAAACATGTAGGCAAGTAAGAGTGTTTAAAAGTAAATCTCTAGTTTCTGCTTCAGATATGATTGGTGGGCTTACACACAAAGAATGTGCAATTAATACCCTGGTATCATCTCACTCTCATTAACATTTGTCAATGATCTCACTGGATAAACCATGATGAATGTGATGTTGCTAGCTGCAAATTAATTGTAATCTCCTATTGCCTGTAGTTGTTCAAAGACAATCTTGTCCAACCAATCTTGTCCAACCAAATCCACAATTGTGGATTTATTAATCTTTGCATTCAGTCCAGAATTTTGCTGAAAGAGATTTACAGTGCAATCCTAAACAAAGTTGCAGCCTTCTTAGTCCATTAGGGTTAGGAATGCACTGTTTAAGATTGCACTGTTGGAAATAAAATGACTGGCTGTGCATTCTGCTGCAGAGCATGGTTTGGCTCATATTTACAAATCATCACAAACTCTTTCCTTTGTAGGTGTCCTAAGGGATGTGCCTTCAGATATATCCAAACTGGATACTCCAGTCCAGCAAATTGTCTGCATTATTGGAAAGATTAATGGTTCAGTTCCCAAAAGCGCACGTTATCCTAGGAGGAGATTTTAATGCCAGAACTGGTTTAGGAAACAACGATCTGACCGATGGAGGAGAGAACAGGAATGAGGGCTTGATAGTGGAAGAGAGGGCATGACAGGATCTGGTAATCAACAAAGCTGGCAGGAAGTTTTTGGAGTTACTGTCAACGTTCAACTTATATTTGCTGAATGGTTCAGGTTTTGACATCTCAGGAAGAGTTTTTACATATGTCTCTGCCTCGGGCTAGTCTGATAGATTATCTGGCAGTCTCTATGGAATTTATAAAGGAAATATACTCTTTTGAGGTGTTAGACACAGCCTACAGTGATCATAATCCATTAAGAATCACTTTTGGCTGTGGGGGGGAATTACCCAAAATACTTCATAAATCTAACAGTGAGGTGTTAATCCATAAAAGACCCATCGGGTCTGCCCGAACCCAAAATCTAATCACCCAAGTCTTCAATAATGAGGTAGATATACGAGAAATCATGGACTCTGGTCAAAATGATTTTGATGTAATCAACTATTATGAAAAAATCACACATCATTTAAAACCCTTATTAATTTATAAGGAGCCAGCTAAATCACCCCGCCCTTCTGGTAATGTTTGGTTTGACAGAGAATGCCTACAGCAGAAAAGATATTTAATGAACTGTGTCAGGGTGGCTAGAAAGAAATGGGATCTGAGATCCTTAATATGGGCTAAAAGTCAATATAGGGAGCTATTAATGGAAAAGAAAAAGGAATATGCCATTTGTTACTGGTCTGAGCTGCAGGAAGCTGTGAATAATAAAAATGACAGCAGATTTTGGGACCTAGTCACTGTTGGTTTTAGGAGTGAATATTCAGAGATTCTCCTATCCAGCCTGAATAAAAATGACAGCAGATTTTGGGACCTAGTCACTGTTGGTTTTAGGAGTGAATATTCAGAGATTCTCCTATCCAGCCTGAATAAAAATGACAGCAGATTTTGGGACCTAGTCACTGTTGGTTTTAGGAGTGAATATTCAGAGATTCTCCTATCCAGCCTGAATAAAAATGACAGCAGATTTTGGGACCTAGTCACTGTTGGTTTTAGGAGTGAATATTCAGAGATTCTCCTATCCAGCCTGAATAAAAATGACAGCAGATTTTGGGACCTAGTCACTGTTGGTTTTAGGAGTGAATATTCAGAGATTCTCCTATCCAGCCTGAATAAAAATGACAGCAGATTTTGGGACCTAGTCACTGTTGGTTTTAGGAGTGAATATTCAGAGATTCTCCTATCCAGCCTGAATAAAAATGACAGCAGATTTTGGGACCTAGTCACTGTTGGTTTTAGGAGTGAATATTCAGAGATTCTCCTATCCAGCCTGAATAAAAATGACAGCAGATTTTGGGACCTAGTCACTGTTGGTTTTAGGAGTGAATATTCAGAGATTCTCCTATCCAGCCTGAATAAAAATGACAGCAGATTTTGGGACCTAGTCACTGTTGGTTTTAGGAGTGAATATTCAGAGATTCTCCTATCCAGCCTGAATAAAAATGACAGCAGATTTTGGGACCTAGTCACTGTTGGTTTTAGGAGTGAATATTCAGAGATTCTCCTATCCAGCCTGAATAAAAATGACAGCAGATTTTGGGACCTAGTCACTGTTGGTTTTAGGAGTGAATATTCAGAGATTCTCCTATCCAGCCTGAATAAAAATGACAGCAGATTTTGGGACCTAGTCACTGTTGGTTTTAGGAGTGAATATTCAGAGATTCTCCTATCCAGCCTGAATAAAAATGACAGCAGATTTTGGGACCTAGTCACTGTTGGTTTTAGGAGTGAATATTCAGAGATTCTCCTATCCAGCCTGAATAAAAATGACAGCAGATTTTGGGACCTAGTCACTGTTGGTTTTAGGAGTGAATATTCAGAGATTCTCCTATCCAGCCTGAATAAAAATGACAGCAGATTTTGGGACCTAGTCACTGTTGGTTTTAGGAGTGAATATTCAGAGATTCTCCTATCCAGCCTGAATAAAAATGACAGCAGATTTTGGGACCTAGTCACTGTTGGTTTTAGGAGTGAATATTCAGAGATTCTCCTATCCAGCCTGAATAAAAATGACAGCAGATTTTGGGACCTAGTCACTGTTGGTTTTAGGAGTGAATATTCAGAGATTCTCCTATCCAGCCTGAATAAAAATGACAGCAGATTTTGGGACCTAGTCACTGTTGGTTTTAGGAGTGAATATTCAGAGATTCTCCTATCCAGCCTGAATAAAAATGACAGCAGATTTTGGGACCTAGTCACTGTTGGTTTTAGGAGTGAATATTCAGAGATTCTCCTATCCAGCCTGAATAAAAATGACAGCAGATTTTGGGACCTAGTCACTGTTGGTTTTAGGAGTGAATATTCAGAGATTCTCCTATCCAGCCTGAATAAAAATGACAGAACAATCAAAGTACGTTATCCCAAATGATCTGTTAACAGCTAACAGTTCAAGGCGGGAGTTGAGGGAATGGGTATTTAACATGGATGGGAAATTAGATAGTAATGCAATCAGTCAATCTAGAGTGGCCCCTTTCTTCAAATTATTTAAAAAAAGACCATACCAGGTCATCTTACCTGAAGACTTTAGCAACAATGAAATTAAGGTTGGTCTTTACCAATTTAAGATTTCAAGCTATTCCCTCTATGGTTCGCACCGGACAATTTCTAAGGGTCCCTACCCCTTTATGACTTTGTATGTGTGGCACTGGAGAAGTAGATGATTTGACCCATTACATTTTGAGATGCCCTCTTCTTTTGCCCCCATGAAATAAATTTATCATTAGTATCTTATCTCTGCAGGAAGGAATTTCAGATATGGAAAAAGTTATATTTTTGCTTGCAGATAAAAATCTGTATGTTTCTAACAGAGTCGCTTTGTTTGCATTGGTGGCTAGATTGATTAGATTGAACTGTATGGAAATGACCACGGTCTAATTTGGCTCTGTATTTATATGACCTTGTTGGATATTAATTTAATTTGTATTTACCTTGGAGTTTTATCATGTGGGATTTTATGCAATTTTTTTGGTATTTTTATGACCTATGGTCAACACAATAAATTACTACTACTACTCCAGTCCAGATATATATTTGAAAAATACCCTATTGGTATTTTCTATTTGGGTTTCTGGGTGGTATCTGGGATGTTCCAGGATACCAGAAAAATGAGTCCCCAAAAATCCCAGAAATATTCAGGAGTAGTTGGGAATACCAGACACCAGCTTTTTAAGGGTCCCGGGACTGTTTTTCCCCACCTTGAATTTTGCTGTGTCTCTGTCAGTGTCTTCTCTCCAGGACTTGGTTTTAGGCTTGTCAGGGGTCTAGATTATGTGCTTTGATATTAGCTCTATGGGTCTTGCAATATTGTGTTCTTTAAGCAAGTTGGTTTGTGTCATATTTGTGGTGGATTCTCTGTTTTGACATTGCCTTGGATTCTTGGATTGTGCATTGGTTCAGATTATCTGATTTTACATTTCTTAGTCTTGCAGCATTGCATTTGCTAGTCTGTTTGGCCTGGATGATTCTCTGTGATTTGACATTGGATTGGATTCTCAGGTTGTACATTTGTTGTGTTGAGCCTGCCAAATTGTCCTACACTTCAGCTGGGATTCCCTGGTTTGGCATTGGTTCTTTGGGCTTGTTGGTTCTGACTGCTTCAAAAGGCTTTAGGCCAGGGATTGATTTGCTTTCTCTTGTGACTTTGGCTATTCTTTGCCTTGGAGAAACGTGGAATCCCACCACCGCATAGGAAACAATGGAAGCTGGCTGGGGGCACCTTGTTCAGGGGCCAATAAAAGTGGACCTTTTGTTCCAATTCACTTAAAATCTGGGGCTTATCTAAAGGACAGGCACCAGCACCTCTGCTATAATTTTGGTGCAATTCCCTCAAAATGCAACCCCTCCAGCCCTCTGGAAATATTCCCCAAAGGGAATAATGGAGCCAAATAATATCAGACTCCCCCCAAAAAAACAAGATACCAAATACCTGTTTGGTATTTGGAATCCAGATAACCAGGAATACCAATATTTATCAGCTCCCTGACAAAAAAATACAGCTCTCTCTACAGTGTACTTGCACTGGCTTTGACATGTTGCAGAAAAGATTTTTCATTGTTTGTGGTCTTCTGTGTCCTGTACCTTTTGTTTTAATGTCCTAACTTCAGCCCAAGTAATGTCCCAGACACGACCTTCATCTGTCTATTTCAGATTATTAATCTTTACATTATTCCCTCCCATGCTTGACCATGCTCTCCTCTAGATGCAATTTGGTTTTCTGAAGCTGATATTCTCTGTTACTATATGGCATCATCTCCTTTACTTATAGCAGCATTTCCCCCCAGGATCTTTCCCTCTGTACTACTTTTTCCTGGGAAACAACAGAGGTGGTTCTGTCCAAAATCACAACACAAGAGAGGCAATGCTTCTGTAAACACCGTGAAGTAGATTTATTTTTTTAAATCCTGATTTGCAGAAAAGAGCATACAGTACTCTTTTATGCTTAGTTTATAAAAAGCAGTCAATACTTAAAATGCCATATTGTACAAAACCAGTCTTTATAACACCATTGAGCTGTTAGTCATGCATCCCATGGGTTGATATGCATATCTAAGACCAACTTGTATATTCTCTACTCAGAATAAGTTTTAAAGGAATAATTAGAAAGGGAAGATGAGCTTGCTGGTCCATTCTCTTTCTTCACAATTCAGTCTTCAGCAGCTTCAGTGCTTTCTGCATGTTTGAGTACACTAAAAAAAAATCCAGAAGTTACTCTCTCTCTCTCTCTTTTTGCACAGAATTCATAAGAAATCAGTATTCTGAAAGGGTTTTTGTGCCTGTGGTTCCGAATTAAGGAAACTGTATGATCTAGCATTCCTTTTCATCACAAGTACAGTGACAGAAATAATACACATTTCTAATAGTCTGTCAAGAAAGTCTGGTTCTCAGTTGGAATACTTAGATTTCAGCTGGTATAAGGATGCTTCTCATGCTACTCATTCCTTTTGGGCCCTGTAACTGGCCTGGTAGAACTCTCTGCCTAGTGACATCCGTGCCCCGTGGGACTCAGTGCGGTTCCACAGGGCCTGCAAGACAGAGATGTTCTGCTGGGCCTATGGTTGAGGACAGCAATGGTTTGTCATTGAGCCTGGCCTCCTCTACTCCTCAGCTTCATGGGGAAGGGTATAAATTGGTATCCAACACCATCTGAATTAGTTGTGATTGTGATTGTTTTAACTGTTTTAAATTGAATTGAACCATTATTGATTAATATATGTATTTATTGAAATGTTGTACACCACCCTTAGCCCTCCAGGGGAGGGCTGTCTATATAGTTTGAATAAATTCATAAATATGGAAGCTACCTGAACTTGTCCCTCCAATGGGACATGTTTGTGAATTGCTTATTATGAGGGTTGGAACACACACACCCCCCATGTGGTTTGTGTTTGATACAAAATCTGCCACTGGAATGTTTGGCAGTGCCTTGGAGGCAAACTACCGATGAATCATGGTTGTCAAGTGGTAGCCATATTGTGAGAAGCAGATCCTAACCCTAATTAGGTGAATAAGATTACATCAGGTTTTAAAAAGAAATCCAGCTTGATTGGGATGTGGGCTGGATTCTGCAGACTAAAGACCAAGCTAGCTGTTACAGGTGACATGAGTGTCCTTAGTCATAACTGTGGAGCCAGATAAGAGGAAAACAGGGCTCCACACAGCCATTTCTGTGGGTGAAAATGGTGTGCGGGGGGAAGTCTGAATGACACCCCCCCTTGCTTTGCAGCACTCCAGAGTCAAACCAGAGCACTTTCAAGGTGAGGTCCTTAGTTAGTACATGAGACTGAGAGTCAGGTCAGACACTTTGTGTCACATGTAAAGTCCAGTTTGGACCTAAGTGATAAGTCAGTCTCCATGCTTGTCAACCTCTGCATCCTTTTCTTTCAGATCAGAGTTCTTTCAGTAAAGCCTCCAGAACCAATTATTCTGTGTTGCAAAAGATGATGCTGGAGATGTTTTAAGCTGTGTATGTATGATAAAGTTACTGTAAATGTTTTAGTTATTATATCATATCAAAGTTTGTATGCAGTGGCACCTTTAAGACCAACAAAGTTTTAGTCAAAGTATAAGCTTTCGTGTGCAAGCTTTACTCTGCTGCTTCAGACCAACATGGCTACCCACCTAATTATATCATGCAGTGAGCTGGATCTGACCAACCATAAATAGCATGAGTTCACAGGTCAGATCTCTCAACCTCTCCTCTGCAACTTCCTGTGCACTCCAGCTGCTTCTGAGGATTAGGGAGAGACTCAGCGGGGGGGCGGGGTAATCCATAGAAGTCACACACACTCTCTAACAAGAAAGGGGACAAAATTACCCCCTCAACACACACGTTCCTGCTCTCCTCATGGAGGAGTTGACACAAGAGGGTTGGAGTGACTTTGCCAATTTCTCCTTATACTGAAGTCTCTCATGCTGAATCCCACTCCGTTCATATAGCTGTCCCCAATCTACAAGAGCAACCTTCAAAGGGTACTGGTAGCTGCAAATTATTCCATGAACACATGCATTTCATGGCTTGTAGAATCCCTTGCAACAAAAACAGCCTAAGCCAAAGTGGTGCAATGGTTACAGGAAGAGGAGGGCTCAACTCCACACTCAGCTATGAAATTCACTGTACAATCTCGGGCCAGTTATGCGCTTTCAGTATGACCTACCTTATAGGGCCATTGTGAGGATAAAATAGAGGAAGACAGAATCATGTACACTACCCTGAGCTCCTTAGTTGTAGGGTGGGATAAAAATGTAATTGATAGATACTAAAGAAAGTTACTATTCTCTTTGTATACACATGGGAGTTGGGGTTTGGGAATTCCTTGTCGCCTGGTGTCTTTGTAGGTGAAGTGAGATGTAACACACAAATGTAACGCATAGCAACACACTAGTGGGAAGGGCATCTAGATTCTTTTTTGTGATTTTACCCAGATTGTGAAATAGGACTGTTGTATAGATAAGAATGGAACTCCTATTGTAAAAGACCTGTTCATTCCAAAGGTATGCTGGATACTCCAGTACAAAGTAGAAAATACTTACACAGTGGAATATCTGAAGGTTCATAAGCATAGAGGCGATTGGAATATCTTCCAGTAATATCTGCTCTAACTGTCAGTGAAGGATCTGGAGAAGAGAAGGGGTGAAAACTATTTACTTCCAGTTACAAGCAATGGAATTTGTTTCAATGCAGATGGCCTCTACTTTTGTGCCTACTAGGCATAATCAAGTTTTGTGCTTCCACATGGTTTATCTCACATTTTTCTGTTCCCTGAATGACCTTCTCCCCCCATATTAGATGAACAGACTGCAAACTGCATGTATCTAGGGAGGGGGATGAACAGAGGCTTAAGGCTACAACTGATGGGCTTAAAATTATGTCAGAGAGAAGATTCCTAAACAGTTGCATCCATTGATGGTAGGGTACTTCAAAGGATGTAGCTGTTTAGGATTTCAATCTTAATGTCTTCTTTTAAAGAGAAAAAAGGGAAGCTGAGGGTGGGTGCACATATTTGGAAGAGAATTAAATTTGGGAGGGTATTGCTATGGATGGAATAGAATGAGTAGCTTTGAACAACTTATTTTAAAAGGTTGTATTTCCCCCCTCCCTTGACTGACACCCCCCCCAAAGAAAACCATTCTGAACTACAAAAAAACTTTGGGGACATGGAAGGAGGGGGAAACTATGGGGACATAATGTTGTGTGAAGTATCCAATTGGTGTCATGACAGTCATGGAACAATGTTGTCCTGTGTTTTTGTTTGACCAGGACATTGGTGGGGTTAACAAGATGGGAGCATCAGGGTTTGCTACGGACCACATTTTGTGGAATGAGTGCTGATAAACTTTATTTCCCCACAATGAAAATACTGCCTAGATGAGCATGTTAGAGATCAACAAGATTGGGGGGGGGGTAAGATACGTTTATGACAGTGTAAGCTCCCTTGGTCAGATACCTGACAAAGGGAACTTTGACTTTCGAAAGCTCATACCCCCCCAAAATCTTGTTGGTCTGTAAGGTGCTGCTGGACTCGAATCTAGCTCTTCTTCTGCAGACCAACATGGCTGCCCCCTGAAACAATCTAGACTAATGACAGATGAGCATTGATCACTCCACACCAGCCCGCCCACCCTCTGTTAGTGTCTACAGGCCCTTAATATGTTGTATGCATTCTTTTGTTCTTGCAAGTTACTAAAGGGAGTTTTATCCACCTCATGTATGGTTTGAATAGGATTCTAACTGGTGTAACATTACGGAGGATAGAAATTGGCATGGATTCTGGGTTATGTAACCTGGCAAATAAAGTCATGCAAACACTGCCACACACAATGTTCACTTTAAATTCCTGTCCAAGACTGTTGTCTCTAATGGTATGAGCCATTGGGATGTAGGTAGTTATTTATCATTGCAGAGCAGGGCCAGCCCAAGAAATATTGGGACCTGAGCTGGAAAATTTTAAAACTCTCCCTTGTTCAATGATGATAGTAATAAGTAGTTTGTTCTTTAATGGCACACAACATATGCTGCCAGAGAGCAAAGTTATGCATTCTGTATTGTGGTCATGTGGATGAGCCGCACTAAAGAAATAAGAGCTGGGGTTTCCATTAGGGAAATAGTGGAAGGAAGGAGTCATATAACCCCATGCCATGGTCCTGGTCCGATTTTAGTCTTAAGGAAGATGGCTACAGACCAGAAATTAGGCTCCCCTGTCATGTGTACTTTGACCCCAACAGGCTTCCCAGGAAGACGTTTCCTCATTCTTGATGGGCTTGTTAATGTACTTTTCTTTTTGGTGGGCCAGAAGAACAAAGTGGGCCATGTAGCTATGGCCTCATTTACATGATCATTGAGAGATGCTATGAACACACTTATTTATACTGTCAAGGAGAAAGAACAGGTACCATAGGGAATAAGCTAAAATATCCACCTGACTGTGCGTATTTTGGCATAAGAGTTTATATACTAATGTAATTTGGACTTGTGAAACAAGATTACCAGTTGTTGGCTGATAGAAACAAATTGTCCTGCATTTTCTCCCTGATGCCATAAATAAACTTAAGAAGGTTTGTTTTTTTCACAGTAAGGGATTGTGTAGTCCATAACTACAGTTGACTGTTTTGTTTTTCCCATTCATGCTGAATAATGTGAGGAAATTTTATTCTACAGTAAGTACTGCTATTTGATACCAGGCACTGAAATGGGTATATATAATCACACACTGGAACCAGTTTTTCAAACAGGCGTCTCTGAATCCTAATACCTACCTACAAACAGGACTCTGGGAACATACTGGCCATCAGGGGAGAGATGTTTGTCTGTGGTTTCGTACTAAAATACAAACAGAAAATCAAAATTTCTTTTAAGGTTTATCCTTTAAACCACACAATTAACTATTTTAGTCTTGCCAATTACTTTATCATAATCAAGGGCTGGATATACATTTGCAGTAAACCATGGTGCAGGGTTGGGTATGATTAATATTGGCTTTTCACGTTTTTTTCCCTCCACAGAGACAATCTTCATGTAAAACATGGCCACTAACCTACATGAAGGATACATGAGTATCTATTTTGTCAAGCACATGTGTTTCAAAATAAGAACATAAGAACATAAGAAGAGCCCTGCTGGATGAGACCAATGGTCCATCTTGTCCAGCATCCATCTCACACAGTGGCCAACCAGTTCCTCTGGAGGGCCAACAACAGGGCATAGAGGCCGAGACCTTCCCCTGATGTTGCCTCCTGGCTCTGGGATTCAGAGGATTAGTGTGTCTGAAAGAGGAGGTTCCCCTCAGTCACCATGGCTAGTAGCCACTGATAGACCTATCCTCCTTTAATTGATCTAATCCCCCTTTTAAGCTGTTCATTCCTGAGGCCATCACTACATCCTCTGGCAGTGAATTCCATGTTTTAATCACTCTCTGTGTATCATTCATAACACCACATGGTGAACTAAATACTTGTGTGTCTTCATAAGTTTGGGCAGATAAATTTCTCAGCCTTCCATGCACCAACTAATAATTACTTGAGAGTACTAAAAATAGGGTAGTTAATGAAATATCACTTAAACTTACGACAAGATTGAGGAGAACAAATTTCTCGGCCAACTTTTGTATTTCTTTGTGTTCAGAAAACACTTTCTTCAGTGCTAAGAAGGAAAAATAAAATAACTCTTTTGAGGGGAAAGGAATTGAGAGCATTAAAGGGTGGTATAGACCTATTGTTACAGACTCCAAGAACTGTCACGAACTCTTGTGTAATGTTGGAAATGAGTAACTGTGTAAAATGAGCTATAAATCAGTCTACACACTGGTCTTCAAGCCAATCTAGTTCAAGGTTACCACAATCAATGTGTTGTGTATAGTTTTGAAAGTCAGATGTCTTATCCTAGCAAATAAAATTACTATACACACAGAATCAAAAGCTGAGACAGAAGTCTGTAGCCAGTGACATATTTGTGAACAGTCTACTTTACTCCTTCTGGAACTGGACTTCTGGTGCACTACCTTGAACAATACAGCCAAAGTTTCACTTCTTAAAAGAGGTGCTGGAATTTGAACCTGGCTGAAAGCCACACCCTCTAATGTAGAAATCCTAGCTCCAAATTTCAAATGGGGGAGGGGACATATCCTCTCAGGCACTCATTATCTGTGAGAATGCATGACAAGGACAAATGCACTCCTCTGTGTAACCTCACAGTGATTTGCTTTTAACTATGGGGTAAGAGCAAGGGTTGTTCTGTTTTACAGGATGTTAAAGTAAGATCTGGGTTGTTGTTTTTTTTTTTAAAGAAGCAATTCATTTCCTTAAGTGCCTACCAAAAATAGAAAGAATTGTACCTTGGCTGTGAGGACAATCTTCCAAGTGGTGGATGATCATTATAGGTTTGTTGCTGAAGAGAAAAGACATTCTACTTTAGAATTTCACAGTAGATTACAGGACAATAAAGATTTATAAGGGAGAGTAACATCCCAAATTAAATCTGAAGAGATTTTCCAAACATTTCTCATTGTCTATGGCTAAAAGTGATGAGAGAGAAGAACTGCAGAGTTGCACAAGGTGGTGCTATTCTAACACCTTTTGGAGATATAAGAACTTACTTTGCCTTGGATTTGTAGAGAGCTTCTTCATAAGTCTGAGTCCAGATAAGATAATCGCCCCAGCCTGAAGTGACATATGAAGTTTAATTTTAAATTGCATTGTGATTGAAAGTGTTAATTTCATGACTAAGCAGAAATAAACTATCCTAATTTTTAAAAATGAATTGTTGTATCTGGTTTCTATTAGCCTACCATTTTCTTTTGAGAAAGTGTTTTAAATGGTTTTGATTTATGTAAGAGGTTTTTAGAAAGCTGGTACTGAAATGAATTAACTTTGTCTCTTTGCTTACTGTGGCGTTTAGAGAATTAATTCCTAATATGACCCAGCTTTTGAAGGGCGCCCCACTCCCCAGCATCCTTATGTATCTAATGGCTTACTACATTTTGCTAGTAAGTTATTAACTAAGGTTGTTACTATTTGATTTGATAAGAACCCTAAGCATTGACCAGTTTTATTCCTGTATCTGATAGCATATATCTGATAGCATATTCCTGAAATAATTTCCTTCATAAGTATAGGTGGGTCAGAGTAATAAATTCCAGACAGGTAATACAAGTGGCAGTTTAAGAGACAAAAGCTTTAACTAGCGTATGTTTACCTCTTGAGAGAGTCTGGGGCAGTTTTATTTTGCTGTCTTTGGCTTCTTTTGTGTCTCTTTTCCCGTCTTTTGTTGTAGCGTCTTTAGCCAAGGTGTGTGCAACAGCAATGATCAAAAGAAACACAGACACTAAGCTCTTCTCCATGGCTAAAGCTAAGGGGGGAGAAAAGGCACTAGGATTATTCAGCCTTCCAGAACAAGACAATGTGCAGTAAGGAACAGTGATGGCATACAACAAATCTGCAGTTGGCTAAATAATAATAAGCATCGCTCTGGAGGTGTATGATTTCCTTGATCACAATGAAAAGGAGCAACCAACTGCCAAGAGTTGCTTATCACGCTTTGGTACATGAAGCTTTGAGCATCTCTTCCACTATTTGTGTGAAAGTTTGATCACTGTTGATGCAAAAAAAAAAGAAGAAGCAGTAATTGTTGACTGGGGGAACATCAGTGTAGTTTACACTTGTATTAGAGGCAGTGTGGTATAGTGGTTGGAGTGCTGGACTAGGATCTGGGAAACCTGGGTTCAAATTCCCACTTCTGCCATGGAAGCTCCCTGGGTGATCTTGGGTCCATCACGCACTCTCAGCCTAACCTACCTCACAGGGTTGTCGTGAGGAAAAATAGAGGAGAGGAGAATTATGTGAGCTGCTTTGGGTTCCCATTGGGGAGAAAAGTGGGGTATAAATAAAGTAATAACAATTACACCCCAATTCAAGTGTGAGTACGTCTATAAAATAATTATTAATCAGCAACCAATATAGCCAATTCTCAACATGGTCCCGACTATATCCATATCTGGAGACTAGAGCCATGAGCAGACCAGACAGATCTTTCTACAAACCTGAAAAAAGCTCCAAGTTTTCAAAAAACCCTGAAATCTTAACAAACGAACAAGCTGGTGAAACCCCCCCACCCAATAATAAAATCAGCACCTGTAGCTTTAAGAAATTAATGCCCTCTGTGGCGACTGTTAGGTGACCACCACAACATTTCTAGTCTTCTATCCTTGGTTAGTCTTCTAACCTTGGTTTCTGTTAGTAAAAGATTTCCAGGGCTGTTTTGGCCTTTAAGAGAGAACTGAATGGTCCAGTCAGTCTCTCTCAGCGTAACCTTCCTTACAGGGTTGTTGTGAAAATTCAATAGAATTATGTAAGCTACCTTTGGTCCCCGTTGTGAAGAAAGGTATGGTATAAATGAAATAAATAAATTATAAATATAGCTGAAGATGGGGGCAGATAAAATGTGGGTTGATTGGTGATTGGAAAGGAGACAAGGAAGCAGGGAAAGAAAGAGAGGATATAGGGGCTGTCAGTAAGAAGGAAAGAAGAAAGAGTGAAGGGATACAGGTGGAAATGAAGTGCCCCTGAAGTCCTTGCAGTTACCCTACAGTACAACTGGATCAGGGCCTAGTGCCAGGCACCACACAAATGGACCTGGGGAGGCTGCCACCACACAACTCAGCCAGAGTTTTCCCAGCTGCCAAGGTGAGGGGAGGAGGGAAAGGTGAAGACCAGTGGGGTAGATAAAGGTAGGTTGGCAGGTAGGTGAGAAGGAGACAGTAGGAAAAAGGGACAGGGTATGGGGGCTGCTAGGGAAGGGAAAGATGAAGTACTGGGGGAGGGGAAAAGGAGATGCCTCCCAACAAGTCCTTTTTGGTACCTAACGCGTCATTCTCTAACTTTAAAGTTCCTGTACTAGTAACTGTTTCTTCTGCAAAGGCCCCCATGGTATTTTCAATACTGGTCTCTTTAAAACTTCAGTTTTCAGGCAGGGGCTGGGACAGGCCTAGGGTTGCCAGCTTCCAGGTGGGAGCAGGGGATCCTCTGATTCCGCAGGCTCCAGACTGCCACTAGCCGGCTGGCTGGCGGGGGGGGGGGGGGAAGCCCCACCCCGAACAGCCACAGTTAGGTGTGATGTTCCCCGGCATGATGACATCACACTAAATTATGACATCACACTAAGTTATGTCATCACGCTGGGGACATTGTAGAGTGATGCTCTGGTATTTGGAGCAAAACTCTATGGTAACCATAGAGTTTTGCCCAAAATACCAGTGCTGCCATGTGACTCCCCAGTGTGATGATGTCACTTCCGTGTGACATCATCACACAGGGGACTTTGTGCACGGTAATGTTTCCCCACTCCCAGGAAGCTCCCTCCCACCCCCCGCCGGCAGAAGAAAAGGACCTGGCAACCCTCAATAGGCCGATGGGCAGAGAATCATTGCCCCTCCCCTGAAGTGCTGTGCCTCGGGGCACTCTGGAAAATGTAACCCTTACATGACTGACTTCATGTAAGTCCAAAGTGCAACAACTTAGATTCAAAAGAGTTTCCAAGATGCTGGGAGGAATAAGGGAGGAGTAAGGGAGATTTTTGGTCTGCAGACTGCCTGCCCAATCAGGTCAACTGTGGCACAAACCTGCACAGTAGAGGAAAGGAGAAGGGAGGGAGGAAGCCAACAACAGCAGCAGCAGCAGCAGCAGCAGCAAATTACCAAAAACCCAATAGTGGTAATTATGAAAATGACAAAATTAATGGAACTGTTTAAAGGTGAAAAATGAAAATGAACCCAAAGTGATATTTTCCCTGTGTGTGACCCCCCACCCCCACCCCCACCCCGCGCTCTAAGTCCTGGGTGTCCTTGTCATCTCAGACTCAAATTTCCGTTATGTTTTCTTCCATAATAATTTCAAAAATATTTCCTTCCAAATGCAACTACTGGGGTTGCTTTTCTGAGAGGGATTATAATGCAGAGGGGGGGAGGAACTTTTAACCATTTCTTCCCTGTAGTTCTGAAAAAAGCCATCCTGCCTGAGCTGCTTTTGCCTCTATGGGGGGGGGGGCCCCCGGGGGCCTATGCGCCTTAAGGGGGGGAGAAAATCTGTAAATGATGATGAAATAAAATGTAGCCTGTAGAATGACGTTTGAATCCAGTGGCACCTTTAAAACCAACAAAGTTTTCTTCAAGCAACACATCTTCAGATACAGTGAAACAGAATTTCCTTAACCATTACATATAAGAAGAAAGAGGGTGGGTGGTTTAGTTGCCAGGAAGGGCTAGTTAGAATCAAGATGCATAAGTAACTGGGTGATTATAGCTGGGATTGGATTAAGGTGGCTGATGTGTAAGATCTGTGAATGGCAGTAAATTAGCATACAAAGACAAGATGTGAGAATGAAGTTTGGAGTCCAGTGACACCTTCAAGACCAGAAAGTTCAGTTCTGGGTATAAGTGAGTGACTTAGCATGTGTAGATGCACACTCCTTCAGATACATAGAAACAGATTTCCTCAAATATTACATGTCGGTGGGAGGGGGGTTAGTTCCCAGGAAGCTGTATTTATTGTTCAGTTACTTATGCATCTTGAGAAGGGAAGAAGGAGGGAAAGGAGGAAAAAAGAGAAGAGAAGAAGGCGGGAAAGAAAGAAAGAGAGAAGGGAAGAAGGAGGGAAAGAGGCTTTCCCACCCCCCATCAAGCCCCTGCCACCCCACCCCCATGGATCCCTTACTTACTGCTTCGGTGGGGGCCAGGGAAGACAGCAGGGGGGCTCTCTGGGTCTCCTCTGAGCCGCAGCACTTCTGTGCAGGCCTGGGGTACCAGGTGGCGCTCTCCTGGCGTCCCCCAGCCGCAGCCCTTCTGCACGGGCCCGGGGGACCCAGCGACGGGGCTCTCCAGGCCTCCCCTGAGCCGCAGTGCTTATGGCGCCGGAGAGCTGGGGGTGGGGCTTGCCGCCACCACCATTTGCGCGGGCTCCTGGGCTGCTGGAGCAGTGCTCTGGCACACTCCAGCCCCCAAAGACCCCTGATGATAAGTATCTCGATTGAGGCTTAAACCATATACTGGCAGCATCAGATCTCTGTGTATATTTTAAACCTGGGTCTGCCCTGATCACACACAGAGGCCTGATTGATATGACACTGGAGACAAGCATAACTTATCATCCAGGATGTGTCCAACATCCTAGTTTCAATGGTACTGCCCTATGTGTGAGGCTGTTTCCTGTGCAACATGAGCAGTCTAACACAATGCCCACCTGGGCCATAGATTTCTGGCATGCTGAAGCTGCATGCAAAATTGCTGAGGGCCCAATTTAAATTAGATGCTGGGAGATTCATGAAAAGATTGCATGAGTAACATCTTTCCCACCAGAATAATGTTTAAAGCAGGTCAAAGGAGTCTGGTTTAAAGAGCGAAAGGAGCAGAGGGTTGATAATCTCTGAGGCCACGGAGCAATTTAAGCAGGCAAAAGCCTAGGCCTAGTGAAACCTTTCCCCAGCATAGTATATGACAAATGCCACTTCCAGAAGCAGCATAAGCAAAGAAGCAAGAATTGGGCTGGGTCCCAAAAAGCTTTGGGGTCAAACCTCCACTCAACTACGAAGCTTGGTAGGTGAGTTTGTGGAAGTTACTCTTTCTCAGCTTGACCTACCTCACAGGGTTGTTGTGATAACAAAATGAAGGACAGGAGACGTATGTATCTCACCCTGATACCTTTGGAACACATAATAGAGATAGACAGAAACAGGAATAGACAGAATTAATAGACAGAAACAGAAAATAAAGTGTACAGAATAATAAATTTGTCCCTTTAAACCATGGGTGTGAAAAACCAGGAAAGATTCAGCACCGGCTCTGCTATTAATTTGATATAGATGTCAAACCAGTAGAGAAGAAACATAGCTTGAAAAGAATCCGGAAGGACCAGTATTTGCTAAACAGGAAATCAGAAGGCAGAAAATCTGAGGCTATTACTGGATGAAGAATGGAAAGAAATGAGCAACAAGCGTTATGCCGCTTTCTTAAAACACTGTACATATTCATAAAGCCAAATAATAAAAAAAATCTCATCCTTCACCCAGTTAGCAGAACAGAAAGACAGCATTACCTAGTGGATGTTTCCTTTAGCAAGCGATGCTGCTCTGCCCTTTCCCCGCTAGATGCCTTTCAGCTCTTTCTTTCTGTGCTTTAATAAGTAACTTGAGTCTAAAGGTCAGAGGATTCTAACAGGTGCTTTGCTAAGCAAACGCTCCTAGTCTTACCTTCTCTGCCCTCCTCCTCCTTTGAAGAACAGGTGCAGTGCTCCAAGTTTCAGTGTGAACAAAGAAGGTGTGGAATGCCTATTTATGCTCCTAGTGGCACCT